TCAATCACCAAGGGACATTGAGTTCTAGTCCTGCCTCAGGCATAAAAGTGGCTGGGTGACTTTGGGCCAATCACCAGGGGACAGTGAGTTCTAGTCCCACCTTAGACATGAAAGCCAGCTGGGTGACTGCACCGATCACCAGGAGACAGTGAGTTCTAGTCCCGCCTTAGGCATGGGTGAATTTGAGCCAATCACCAGGAGACATTGAATTGTAGTTACAGGCATAAAAAGCGGCTGGGTGACTTTTTGTTCAATAGAACAGAACAAGTTGAAGAGAATAGAATTAATAAATCATTTACCAATAAAGGGGCTTGGTGCATCCGGTCCGGCCGCTTGCTCTACGCCGAGAATCCCACCTGGTTTGGGTGGGTCAGGCGGGAGAGGGACGCCAGAAACAACCTTGGTGGCAAAGGTCATTTCAACCGTAGTGGCCTGAAGCGAAAACGGAGACAAAACAGAATTAAAAGGCAGTAAAACGTTCCCCATTAAGGCAGTCTGCCTGTCTCATGCCCCGCCACCCCATCCCTTAGCCCCAAATTCCCTCAGATCCCGTAAGACGGGCACCCATTCCACAGACTGAGCTTCTCCCCACCCTCGCCCCACGGTTCAGCGGCAGAGAAATTTCCAGGAGCTGCTGGGGGGTTCGCAGGGGTTCACGGGAGAGCCCCTAAGATTCTGTGCAGTTCGGAGAACCCCCAAAATCCCACTCCTGGCTGGCCCCGCCCATCACCCCGCCCCTCCCAGGGGTCCCCACTTTGGATGCAGGTAAGTGCAGGCCGCACACAGAGGCTCGGGGAGGGTGAAAAATGGGGCTCCCAGGAGTTCGGGAAGGCCGGAAATGGGCCCCGGGGAGGCTGTTTTCGCCCTCTCGGAGGGCCTGAGGAAAACCGTTGGAGCCTGAGGCGGGCAAAAACAGCCCCCCACACACACCATGTTGCAAAAGCTGACTAGGCCACGCCCACCATGGCCACGCCCACCCTGCAACCGGGCAGAGAACCCTTTGCTACAATTTTCGAAGCCCACCCCTGGAAATTTCCCCGACGGATTGAAGGGGTGGGTGGGAGCGGTTAAGGTGTCCCCCTCCTCCCGGGGAGGGGCCCCGTGGCCCTTGCACCCACCACCACCAGCAGCTTCTCCACGCATTCGGGCACCACGTTGTGGACGTGGCTGAGATGGAAGTGGAGGTTGGCCCGGCCGACCAGCTGCTCCTGGCACAGCGGGCAGTGAAACTTGGGCTGCACGGCATGTTGGGAGATGGTGTGTGCCCGCACGGCTTCGGCCGATTGGTCGACGTAGTTGCAGTAGGGGCAGCAGAAGACCTGGGGTGGCAGGAGGAGATAGTGGAAGAATTAAAAAGGGGAATCAGAAGGAGTTAAAAATGAGAGAACCAGAACCCCGGAATGGGTTCAAACAGATCAGGACAGCCGCCCCCAAATGCAAGAATGGGGTTCGATTGGCACCTCTTTCCCAAGGTGCATCTGGAAGAGGGGCAAAAAAGTCAAGATGGTGGTGGCAATCAGGTCTGTTTTACGCGCACCAGGCGTGCAACTCGAATGGCTTGCGGAAATCACCATTGTGCAGGGCGGGGGTCAGAAAACTTGGCAACTTGTTGGACTTCAACTCCCAGAATTCCAAAGGAAGGAAGGGAAGAAGGAAGGATGGAAAAGATAGAAGAGGAAGGAAGGAAGGAAAGAGAATAAAAGGGGAAGGAAGGAGAGAAATATAGAAGAGGAAGGAAGGAAGAAAAATTTAGAAGGAAGGAAGGAAAGGAGAGGAAAAAAAGGAATGAAAGGGGGAAGGAAGGAAGGAAGGAAGAAAAAAGAAGAGGAAGGCAGGGAGGAATTGTGGAAGGGAGGAAAAGAGACGAGGAAGGAAGAGAAGAAAAGAGGAAGGAAAGAGAAATATAGAAGGGGAAGAAAGGAAAAAATAGAAGGGGAAGGAACGAGGGAGGGAAAAAGTAGAGAAAAGGTAGAAGAGGAAGGGAGGAAAAAAGGAAGGAAGGAGATGAAAGAGAAGAGGAAGGGAGAGGGAGGGAGGAAGTAGAGAAAAGGTAGAAGAGGAAGGAAGGAAGGAGATGAAAGAGAAGAGGAAGGGAGGTGGAGGGAGGCAGGGAGGGAGGAAAAGGTAGAAAAGGAAGGAAGGAAAAAGGAAGGAAGGAGATGAAAGAGAAGAAGGGAGAGGGTGGGAGGAAGGAGAGAAAAGGTAGAAGAGGAAGGAAGGAAAAAGGAAGGAAGGAGAGGAAAGAGAAGAGGAAGGGAGAGGGAGGAAGTAGAGAAAAGGTAGAAGAGGAAGGAAGGAGATGAAAGAGAAGAGGAAGGAAGGGGGAAGGAGGAAAAGGTAGAAAAGGAAGGAATGAAAGAAAAAGACAAAAGGGAGGAAAAAGAGAAGAATATAGAAGAAAGGAAAAGATAGAAGAGGAAAGAAGGAGAGAAAAGAGAAAGGAAGATAGATGCGGAAGGAAGGAGGGAAAAGAAGAATAGAAGAGGAAGCAAAGAGGGAGGGAGGGGAGAAAAGAAGGAAGGACTTCTGGGTTATTCTTAATCCACCACCCAAGGAGCAGGGTTAAATTGGTCTTTTTGCCAAATTCGGAAATCCAATTAGACTTCTCTCAAACCCTCACCGAGAGAAGAATGTGAACAAAAGCAGAGAGGAGGGAGGGGGGGGGAATTCCAGCTCCCCACCTCGTTGGGCTTCGTTTAACCCACACGGGGGTCCCCCCAAAAGAGCAAACGGGGGCCATCAACCCCAGCCCTGCCTGGATCCTACACACACACCCTAAGCCCATCCCGGGGGGTGGTCTGAGAACCAGAGGGACTTTCCAAAAAAAACCCTTTCCCCCCCCCCCCCCGAATGGAGCTCCAATCCGTCATTATCATTTGAAAAAAAAGAAAAGAAAAGAAAAAAGGAGGAAGAGAGAGAGAGAAGAGAGAGAGAGAGAGGGAGGGAAGGAGAAGGAAAAAAAAAAAAAAACCCCAGGAATAGGTTGGCAGCCAAAGTGTAGCGGTCCCATTATTAACCTCCCTCCGTTCACACTTGACTGCACACAATTGTCGTTTGTGTGGGTGAATCGTCTCTCTTCGCCTCGCCCCCCCCCCCCCCCCCCCCCCCCCCCCCCCCCCCCCCCCCCCCC